TGGTTTTTGGATATTTTAATAAAAAAATCTTACATATTGTGCCTCAAACTGAACAAATTGCTGCTTTCTTTAAATTCAACTATAGTTACAGTTTTCTTAAGGATATAATCTACCTTGGCTAATGCTGTGAACTATATAGGAAGCCCTATTACTTGCATATTACTATAATACAATTACAGTTAACAGCAGAGGCCAAGCTATTAAACTCAATTCTCTTTATTTTAAGACATAATAATCAACACTCAAATTAAAAATTGTATGTAACCATGTAAATTGCACATGAAGCTGTTTTTACATTAACTTCTGCATTTATTTATAATATTTCTACTCCAATTCGTTGTTCAGATATAGTCTTTTACAGTGGCTGTCATAACTCGTTTTGATGACAGAATTATTTAAGCATATATTAAATAATTAAGACATGACTAAGAGGTTAAGTGAAATAAAATGAATATATAGGCTAATATAGTGCATATATTTGGCGAAATGCTCTTCTCTAGACTTCAATTCTCTAGTGAGCTTACGAGCTGTTGACACTGAATGACTTACCTGAGATAATGTAATGCTAGGTGACATATTGTTTAATTTCCGCGGTTGAAACACTGATTGAGCAATTACATGAAACTTGATACATTTCAATAAGTTGTACTGTTTCTTTCAACACACCTTCTGATGTTCATTCATGTTTATTTTGGGCTGTAGCTAGTAGTAAAGTCGTGATCCGCGACTTTGTTTCTTATCAAAAGTAACAATATATAAAACTATAAAACTAGTTTCAAGTTCTGCACGTGTAGTGGTTAAAACAACGCTGTATTTGAAACGAAAGACCAGTACTGAATATTTTCGTACCGTTACACCTCTACTTCTAACTCATCATATGATGTGCGTGACCAGTGCTGACGTCTCTTGCTGGTTGTGTTCAGCTGAACCCACCTGAGCTGGACCTGTGTGAGGACTTGAGCGACCTCGTGAGCGTGAACGAGTCAAGCATCCTTCACACTTTGACCAGCCGAGCTAAAGGACATCTACCCTTGACCCACGCGGGGCCCAATCTACTGGCTCTGTGGCCTCCACTGTCCCAGCCAGGCAAGGTAAGATCAGTGTATTTACAAAACCATCAGTGAGGCCTGTATGATGACACATTCAGTTTGACATTAGTTAGAGTAGTTATATGCAGCACATTAGTCGTAAATTTATTGATTAATTTAGTTTACTTATAAAAAAAAAAAAAAGTACTATGGTATTGCTGTGGTTTTCTTGTTTTTTGTTTTTGCACTATTTAGAATTGAATTGAGAATGCCTTTTAAATTCTAATTTGTATTATTATTATTATTTAATTAATTAAATTTCATTTTGTCCAACATGGAAAAAAAATTATAAAATGCCTTTAATAAATAAATGCCTTTTAAATTCAGTTCAGTTGCTGAATTTCTATCAAAGTAGCATTGTACATCAATTATAATATTATAGTATTATACAGTGGGTACGGAAAGTATTCAGACCCCCTTAAATTTTTCACTCTTTGTTATATTGCAGCCATTTGCTAAAATCATTTAAGTTAATTTTTTTTCCTTCTGAATACTTTCCGTACCCACTGTATATAACATATTGTGCATATTTAAATAAAATATATAGGTTATATTATATTATATATTTATTAATATCAGTGGTAGGCTATTGTTATATATACATTTATTTTCTTTACATTTTTAAAATTTTATTTTATTAATTTAATTAACTTTCATTTTGTCCAACATGAAAAAAAATAATAATAAAATGCCTTTAATAAATAAATGCCTTTTAAATTCAGTTCATTTGCTGAATTTCTATTGAAGTAGCATTGTACATCAAATTTAAATTTAATTAAATTAGTGCAATTAAAATAATTGCACACGTGTGTGTGTGTGTGTGTGTGTGTGTGTGTGTTCATATTTAATAATTATTATAAATTATTATTATTAGATTTATTAATATCAGTGATAGGCTATATTTATTTATTTATTTATGTATGTATGTAACATAAAAAATAATTTATTACTCAGAATGCTGTAATTTCAAGATGAAGACTTTGGTCCCACCACAGAACTGTTTTGTGAGGGTGTGACATGCAGAACATGAATTAGCTTATTAAAATGTGTTTGCTTTCTGCTTCAGGGGCTTCGGAGCAGACGCTGGGAGTCCTGGGAGGCTCCTGGCCCACTGCAGGCTCTGGTGAGGAGGGTGTATGTGTCAATGGTGGGTCAGCGGAAGGACCAGACGCTGGTGGCTTTGGGACGCAGTGGCACAGGGAAGACCACTTCCTGTCAGTCATTTTCCCAGGAGCTGCTCAAACAAGCGGGAACAGCAGGAGGAAGCCTTACCTGTGAGTGCCTCCCATTTTTTCTGTTGATACGCCAAAGCTACAGAACAACAGAAGACAAAAGCTCAAAAATTACCAATAGAAATGAGTTGAATAAGTGCTTGAATAATTTGCACGCTGGATGGATTCTGTTTCTCAAGAGCCTCTGGTGGTTACAGGCTCCTATCCTGTAATTATAACAGCGTCTTCCTCTCACAGTGTGACATGTTTCGTTCCACTGAATATCAGCGTTTGTGTGTGTGTGTGTGTGAATCTGCTTCTACTGACATGAAGTGACAGGTGAAACACTATAGCAACAGTTTAGAGGCTGTTTAGGGGTGTTTGTCTGTTGTCACAGGTTGTGAGACATGATTTGTGTGTGTAACTGCAGTAGAGCGGCTCCAGGCAGTGTTTACAGTGCTGCGCTCGTTTGGGTGTGTGAGCTCGTCTCACAGCGAGGCCTCGAGTCGATTCGCTATGGTGCTCTCACTGGACTTCAACCACGCCGGACTCGCTGCTGCTGCACATCTGCAGGTTCTCTGATCTGTCTGTCCATCTGTCTTTATCTGTCTGTCTGTCTGTCTGTCTGTCTATCTATCTATCTATCTATCTATCTACAGGGGCGCCGCTGGCAATTTTGGGCCCTATGAAAGAATATGTGGTCGGGCCCCCTACCGCACCAAACATACACTATATTGCCCAAAGTATTGGGACCCACCCCCACTCCCCTTCTAATGAACAGGTTTGACTACTTTAGTAATTTCCACAAGTACATATCGTAATGTTTAAGCATATAATGATATTCTAGGGAATTGTGTGCTTCTAATTTTATACCAATAGTTTGAACAGGACCCTTTTCTATTCCAACACAAAAATGCCTCTGTGTATAAGGCAAGGTTTAAAAAAAAAAAAAAAAAAGATTGATTCAGTCAGTGTGGAAGAACTTGACTGGATTTGCCACTGATGATTCAAACGCGAGTTTTGAGCAGTGTAGAGTAGCACTTGTTGTTTGTCATTTCTCCGATCACAAATGCAGACATGGTTTTATGTTTACGCGG